GCGCCTGAGTATTGCTTCAGCCCTTTGTGTGTAAAAATGAACTTACTCCTGTCCCTCTGTCTCCTTTCCTTAATGGCTCTCTGTGAAAAATGGGATTGAGAGGATCCGCTTTACTTCATATTTGTTACTAACAGTAACAGTTTTTTTTAATGTAAATTTTTGTTTCATATGAAGAGAAAGGTTACTTTTTTCTGTTCTACTCGGGCCAGAGAGCAGATGGATCCCTGGGGAGTAAGGAAGAAAAGAAGGATCCTGAACAGGGATCTGGAGGAAGATTCTTGCTTCCCTGAGGCATTTTATGCCTTGTTCCCTGGAGGCCATACTTTACTGTTAGAATTGCCACCACCACGGTCTCTACCTCAGCTGTAGGGACCAGTGGCTTTGAGCTCAGGGACTGCCAACTGCACTGGGGGGAATGTGTTCCTGGCATCCTAAGTCAGAATCCTGAATGCATTTGGCCATAGAAACATGATTGCACATGGTGGTTAAGTTCTACAGCATTATTAATACTTTATCTCCTCCACTTAAAAAGGGTATAAGAAGCTTTTAGTGGGTTGGCCCCTGAACCTATTCTCTATTTATAAAATTCCATCAATAGACAAAACTGTGTTCAGAGTTCCAAACTAACTTGCTGAAAGTCTTCAGGAACACAGCTAAGTTACAGTAAATACCTGTATAACTGTATGTTCATTTTTTGTTATGTGTGTATTTGCCTCTGTACTATATTCTACTTTGTGTCTTCTCAGGTAGTTACGGAGTTCCTACCATGACCTTACCATCCATGACGGAAACATGTCAAAAGGAAAACTGCTCACCCACGATACCAGCTTCAAATACAGGTCTGTAGAAAGGACTCCGGGACAGTATGAACTTGATACCTCTGAAGGTTTTTTTTGGTAAATGTTATTACCTCTTAGAGGGTTGCTGTAGGAATTTCATGGTGAGTTGAAATAGAAGAATAGAGGGTAACAGAAACAAGGGGATTCTAACAAGAGAAAGGATTTTGTACCCCCATCCTGTTCCGTCTATTATTTCTATTCATGAGAATTTAACAAATTAATTCTGTTACCATATTGCAAACCACACTAAGTGAGCCCCCTTAAACTGCATAGTGTTTAACAAAAAATCTGGAAGAACATGGGCTTAATAGACTTGGTTTTAGTCCTGGACCTGACACTTTCTAGCTCTCTATATTTGATATGTTATGCAAATATCACGGACTTTGTTCAGATGGATTGCCTACATACACACATACACACACACAGCGAAACTCCTATCTCCCTTATCTCCACAGGGGAAATGGAATCATGCATATAAAAATAATTTTTTTAAACTCTAAATTGTTCTCTTAGGAGGTGGCAGGAATCTGGAAACTATGGCGTGTGTGATATTTAATAAACTGTCAAAGAAATTAGTGATCTGTTTCCTGGAGCAGCAAAGATTCAGGGAGTGTCTGTCTTTAAATATTTCAAGAGCTGTCATATATAACAAGGAGTAGATTTAGCAGGAGTCAATGTGTTGTGTCTTCTGAGGGCAATCTTGGACTCAGGGCAGATAAGGGAAGAGTGTGGTACAGCGTAAAGATAGCGTTCCCCAGTTTCCATCTGGGAGCACATTGTTTGCCTGGTCATAATGATAGCTCCTCCTTTCATAATGAAGTTGCCTTTTTCCTTCAGATGTTGGGCTATTGTTTAAGGAAAAATGAATGGTCCCTTCTACTGACTAAATATTTCATGCTTTATGACCTAAAGGGGGAATTAAACACTTGAATATTTTCCATCCCAGCATCCCAGCAGCTACAAGCACTGTGAGCAGCTGCCATCATGACTTCTTTTCTCCCCTGCCTCCTGCTCCCCAAATAAACGCTGACAGTAAGAACCAGTTCATTCTCGGCTTGTATAGCATTGCCATGCTCTGCAGTTTCTGAAATCCTGTTATATGCATCCTCCAGTTTAAACTGCTTCAATTTCTTCAACCTTCTTCACATATTAAGCTGTGACTCCTGATGTAATATTCCAGAGAAACAGTTGAGTGGTGCTGTCTTACTCTGGGTAGTGGAATTTGGAATCACATCATACTCTTGACCCACATTTGGCTGACTCTTGGCTAAAATGCCAATCTTCACTGGTTCGGCTTTCAAGCCATAAATGCCCATTCTGTTCTCATATAATTGGGAGTTTGGGATTTCAAATATAAACCATGCATTTATTTCTACATATTCCTGCCAACCCATAATTCCAGCATGTCCCAGTTTGTCCAGTGAATGGATTAGGAGTTCTTTGACCAGATAATCTCTGGGTTTCAGGTCCCTTCCAGCTCTAATGGTCCATGAGGTTTATGGCAGCTTTATGGATCCTGATGCTGTGTCAAGCAATGTTTTTATTCTCTCTCATGTCATCCTCAAGTTGATAAGCTCTAGCACAGG